CTGAGTCGCAAGAGAGCGCAGTGAGTGTCTCCTCGTGTGTGTGTGTGTGTGACGTCATGTGTTCCTGACTGCAGTGTGTGTGTGTGTGTCTCAGGCCCGGGACGTCTGCTAAACTGCGTCTGCTCGTTCAGCACGGTCTGGGCACGCTGCGCGCCGGAGAGAAACACGGCCTGCAGCCGGCGCTGCTCATACACTGGGCCAAACATCTGACTGACGCGGTACGTCCTGACCACCTGCACCCTCATCACCTGATGTCATACACTTCATTTCTTACATCCATCGCAGCTCATGCAGTCTGCTGACGGAATCAGCTGGACAAATCTTCATTGCTTTCACACGTTTTTGTCACAAAATGATTCATCTTTTTTGACTTCATTAGTTTTGGCCACATTTTAGAGTCCTGGTAACCGTTTCTCTTTCTTTAAAAAGTCTTTATTTGCCCTCCACAAATTAAGTTTGCTGCACTCCTTTATCAGTAGTTTTGTCTTGCTTTCCAATACAAATATCTAAACATCCTTAACTCAAGATACACTTACTGGAGATGTAAAGTGAAGTCTTGAGAAATTGAACAGAACTGAGTTGATTAAAACAAGAACTAGGGCTGCACGATAAATCGAATGTGACAGTCATGCGCATCTCGTCAGTAAAGCCGGTTCTGTGATTAGTAGTAAATCTCCATCACGTGCTTTCAGATGGAGCGGCATTTACTACACAGAGCCGTAGGCTTTACTGACGAGATGCGCATGACTATCACATGCGATTTATCGTGCAGCCCTTATAAGAACAAATATCTGTCAATGGGCAATGAGAACATGTTTTGCCTTTGAATTAAGTTGATTTTTATAATCATAAACTCACTTCATTTTGAACAAATTTTTCGGAAAACTAGACTTTTCTTTTAAAGGTGCATAGTGCACCTAAGTAAGTTAACATTAAAACACAGTAAATAAACTCATCAAATTACAGTGCAAGGCTCGTCGTGTGTCCTCAACGCGTGAGCATCGAGTCTGAGTAGGAGGAAGCATGAGAAACGGCTCTCTCCATTATTTTGAATTTGAACTGCAGTACCCTTTTCAACCACTAGCTGTTAGATCGTTACATGCTGCACCTTTAATGTTATTTTCTTTCATCATGATTTAATAGACTTTTTTTTTAGACATTTGCACTGGAAAACAAGACAAATACAGAGGATTTTTTTATTTTTATTTTGCTGCTGTGATCAGATGCAATTTAATTTCCATATTCTAGTGTTTGGGAGCAGAGCTATTTAAACCTTAAGCTTTTTTTTTCAAAATTAATTAAAATTAATGAAGATTGCTGGAAGTATTTTTGCACTTTAATGCACTTTTCATAGCTCTCATTGTGTTTCTCTATAGATTTACATTTAGCAAACATATTGATGTATTGTGTTTCCTTTAGTTTATTCCTTTCATTTCCTTTACTTGGTCTTAAGAAGAAGTGTTAAATGTGCCTTCATCAGAGCCGCAGAAGGCCAGCAGTAAGAGTGTGTGTGTGTGTGTTTGTCAGACTGAGCGGGTGAACTCTTACTACGATCAGAAGGAGTATGCTAGCCGCAGTGTGCACTACTGGAGGGCTGTGCTCCCCCTGCTGGAGAAGGTCCGACACAAACGCAGCATCCCTGAACCCCTGCAGCCCATGTTCATGCACTTTCAGAGCAGAGACATACAGGTATCTCCGTTACTTCAGTGCTTTGGCTGCTGGGATGATGTGCGTGGCTTCCTGCTGCAGTCTCTTTGTTTTCTGTTACTGTGTCGTCTCTAATGGTCTTTTGGACGTTAGCCCTCTCAGGTGCGAGTGTATGAGGAAGATGCAGTCATAAGCTTCGCCACACTCCTTGACATCGAGGGCAACACAGAGGAGGCCATCGTGAAGCTGGAGCAGCTCAACAGCATCTCGTCTAACTGGCATCTGGCGAAGGTAATGGCACAGTCACACTGACTCCGCTTCAGCTCATCAGCAGCTCCGTCTGAAAGAGCTAGCGCTGCGTCTGACAGCTTTTGACGTGACTCATGTGTTGATCGGCAGATCTTTCAGAGGCTGTCGGAGGAGGCAGGGAACGGGCTTGAGGAAACTCAGGGCAAGTGCACCAGCTTCCTCCTGAAGTTCAGGAAATACTTGGCCAAGATTTATCAGGCCAATGCAGAGGATTTGGAGAAGGTATGTGAAACACACCACTGACTCCCTCGTATGGTCTCAGTGCTGCTCTCTTTATTTGCACAAGTGACCATTGCAGGAAATGGTCCAGATTTTAGTGCTGATTGTATTAAACCTGTCAGAGTCTTAAAAATAGTTTTTTAGATTTATAGATTTATTTTTAAGAATTTAAGGCTCAAAAGATTCTTTCCAGAAGCACTGTATTCCTCCTGTTCACTCTGATTCAACAACTAGTGCTGCATACGGTCCAGATTATGCTTAAGTTACAGGTTTGAATCATTATGATGAATCCTTCATTGAATCCATCAGAGCAGATGCTGATCGTCTGAACTCTCTGATTGAGCTGCATGTTTTATGTCCTTCAGCAGTGTCCGTCTGAGTGTAGTTAAGAACATGTTCTGTGTGGCTTAACCCTGCTGTTGCATGGTTTTACCTGCACTTGAACACACAGAGAATCATCCTGAGGGAATGTCCTCAGGACCTGAGGAACAGGTGGACACCCATGTGTTCATGGCGAGTAATCATAATCACCAAAAATAATCTAGTATACTATGCTGGGCTGTCCAAACGCAAAACCACAAACCATATGGAGAGGAGGATTGAGAATCGGAGGAAATGCTCATGATGTTAAACGAGAAGGAGAAAACCTCGCTGTGTGCATTGAGAAGAAGTCTTTTGTAATTGATCTACTACTTAGGAAATTGTCGTGAGGACAGTCATTTTTTTCCACTAGTGTTTGTAATCACATTTCCATGATGTATATACAGATGTGGCCATTGAGAATGCGCGTTCAGAGGGAGAGGATCACGTGTGACCACAGGGAATGCTCTAGCACAGGAAAGACATGACCAGTAGGGGGCAGTCATGCAACATACTGTACTGAAGTGGTTGTTATTATTGCTATACTAAAATGCTGGACTGAGCCTGTGCCATTTTTGGGGGGTATTTTTTTGGTGATTTTAATGGTCATTTTAAAAGCTGGAAACCTGTTAAAACATGTTCATTTAGTTCAGATAATTTTGCATGAACTCAGAGAAGATGAAAAAAATCACTTTAAACTTGTGCATTTTTGTCACACTTAGCAAGAGTTTCCTTGTTCAGCTCAGACTGTAATTGATTGTTAATGCATCGTTATAGCCTATAACCATTAAAAAAGATGTTTTATTTTATTATTTTTGCAGATGAAAAAGCATAAACAAACATAAAGCTGCTGTAGGGCTATATGGATTCTTTTATTTCTTATATTTTTAGGATAATGTAAGCGTTATTTTACTGTTATGTAATAAAATGGTATAAAACTTAATAAAATGTAAAATATTGGTATAAAACCACATCCGTTTCTGAATGGAGAAAATAAAACTATAGAAATAAAAAGGAATATATAGGTCTATACACTAAATATTGAATTTTAATCATTTACGATTACCAAAACAAAAGAAAAATAGCTTAAAGCTGTTTTAATTACAAAATTTAAGCAACTGATTTCAAACCCCTTTGCAGTGCGAGTAAATCTTTCCTTGTGCAGTTTTCATCACGCATGCACAAGTTTGCTTTCCGTTCTGCTGTCATTGTTTGAACGTCTAAAACCTTTGTTTGTACCAGTTGAACAAACTGTAACAGTCTCCCTGAGAAACTACCTAGTGAGGCAAGCTACAAGATAAATTTGAGGGAAGGACCCACCGACCAAACTTGCATTAGAATTTCACAATTCAAGAATAAACCTCAAATCACAAACAGATATGCTTTATCTTTTCTTTTCTTTAGGGTTTGAGAAACAACACAAGTATATATATTTACATGGGGAAAAAAAAAACAGCAGGAAATTGGAATTACAAATATATAACGTCCAAAAACTCACATGAATGCAATATTGTCACTGTTGTTCGGCAATGAAGTTGGAAAAGAAAAACCTTAGCTGTCCATTGTCCATGTTTGTCCATAGAAAAATCCCAATGATATGTAGCTTAGAGTTGTACCATTCGTTGAGATGAAGACTAGTTGAAGAAATGTCCATGGAGTGATGTGATGCAGTGAATCAGGAAATCCAAGTCCAAACACCACAACGATGAAATCAGGCCTCGATACCACTGACCTCCGATTGTAGAACTCTCATGTTCCAGTTATACCATTAGCATCGACCTCCAACAATGAAGGAATGAAGACAGATGCTATACAAAAAAAAGTCCTTCTACAAACAAGACATATAAACTAGCATTAGCACGCCACTTGCACACCAAAACAGCAGCCGTAAGACAAGAAAAGAAAATACAGCTTACCCATACAGGGCTTGAATTTTAGCGCGGGATTGCGGGGATTGAGCATAATTCTACTGATTCCCGGAGTTTCTGCACTTGTAACGCGGGAAATTCCCGCAAATATTTCAATGTGAAAGACGCTCGCGACATGACGGAATGTATCATTTGCACGTGCTTTTGAGTCTTACAATTTTAAACATTCAAGTGCTCAATTCAGTACTTGTGCGCTCTGTGACTGTGAGACCCTTTCTGTGAGCCTCCTCACACCCAAAGCGCGCGCACATAGAGACGCATCTGAAAGTGCGCGCCTTATTACACGTAAACGGCCAAATACATACAAAAATGTTAAAGTGCCCGTCTTGATGAGTATTCATGTAAACAGTCGATTTATACTAAACATTGTCGGTATATAGGCTATTAAGTTAATGTAAACAGTTGAGAAACAAAACTAAAAATCCCCCCCATAAGGGCCACCTAAAGGGGGAATTCCCCCCCATTTTCCAAAACGAAATTCAGGCCCTGCCATAACATAACCACATAACCAACATAAAATTAACCAGACAACAACAGAACACTTACATGATTGAGCTTGAAACCGAGGTTTCTCAGTCTGGACATTTACATTTATTGTCTTTTTTTAGTTAAAATAAATTCAATTCAGAGTTTGAAAGTTGTTTTTTTTAAGTATCTTCTTCACAATATAAATATGAATCAACAACATTATAACTTGTAAAACACAAATACACTGGGTGACTAAACATTTAGGTTGGATGATTGTAGTTTAAAAATATGTCTATAAAGAAATACCCTAACTCCCCCCTCAAATAAAAAAAATCCCCCCCATAAGGTGACCGAAGTCGATGGGGTAATTGTAGAAGAACCTAGCTGGATGGTGAAATCATGCTGTAGAGTTGGAGTGGCAGGGAAGACAAGAAGCTCAGTCTTTGCCAGGTTGAGCTGTAGGTGATATTCTTTCATCCATGCCGAGTTGTCGCCCAGCCAGCCCGAGATCCGTGCAGCTACCGTTGGATTATCTGGTTGAAATGAGAGATAGAGCTGTGTGTCATCAGCATAGCAATGGTAGGAGAAGCCATGTGCCTGTATGATGGGTCCCAGTGATGTGGTGTATATGGAGAAGAGGAGGGGTCCAAGAACTGAACCCTGGGGAACCCCAGTGACCAGTTGATGTGCTTTGGATACCTCCCCTCCCCAAGCCACCCTGAAAGACCTACCAGTGAGATAGGATTCAAACCAGCGAAGTGGAATCCCTGTTATGCCCAGTGATGAGAGGGTGGACAGGAGGATCTGATGGTTCACAGTGTCAAAAGCGGCAGATAGATAGGCAGATGGACTCAGAGCAGTTTGGGTGAACCATGGAAGAAAAACCATGCTTTCCCTTCACCAAACAATACTGACGACTTCTCCCCCTTACCTGGCTATATACAAGAGAGAATGCTACCTAGAGCCCCCTAGTGAATGGTAGTGGCATTACACCAAAGAAACACAGTGACCAAACTCTGGGTGGTTACAAAACTATTGCATCAGGTCTTTCATTCTTGCGCCTAGCTATACCATCCACTGGAATACAGCTCCACTGGAATTCAAAACTCTTCAACTTGCAAGAAAACAATATCAGCAGAACAAACTGCAAATTAGTCTGCAAACAAAAAAAATCAAAGATTTACTCGCACTGCACATTGTTTTAAAATCAATTTATTTTTGTAATAAGTTTTAAGACTTTTTATTGGCAATCTTTTTTTTTTTAATTAGGGTTATTGGGTGTTTATCTGCCGATGTTGTTCCTTGCGCCACCTGGTGTATATTGTGTGAAGCACAACAATGTTTTAAAAAATCTGAAAAAGCGCCTGCAGGGAGCTCTGTGATCATGCTCGACTATTTGCGTGCTGGCGCAAGAAAAAATTTGCATTTTTAATGGCCACATCTGTAATGGTGATTTTTATTGTAATCAGTCAGAGTTATAATAATATTGTGACATAAATATTTGCTTATGGTGCACCGCTGGCATGTCTGTATGTGTTTTTTGTGAAGTTACCTGTATCCCATCCACTGGAATACAGCTCCACTGGAATTCAAAACTCTTCAACTTGCAAGAAAACAATATCAGCAGAACAAACTGCAAATTAGTCTGCAAACAAAAAAAATCAAAGATTTACTCGCACTGCACATTGTTTTAAAATCAATTTATTTTTGTAATAAGTTTTAAGACTTTTTATTGGCAATCTTTTTTTAGTTATAATAATTATTATAATAAGTTATAATAATATTGTGACATAAATATTTGCTTATGGTGCACCGCTGGCATGTCTGTATGTGTTTTTTGTGAAGTTACCTGTATCTATGGAGGAGGTGATGGATTTGTTGAATGAAGTCAACCAGCAGCTTGAAGATGTTGGTGAGGTGGATGAAGATCAGGTGGACTATCCTGTGACATCCAGCCCCAGTCAGCCCGCTGAAGGCCATGTTAAATTCTCCACTCCGTCCCCATCCAAGAGTGTCACGTCACCGTCCAAAAGATCTGTGGTACGTTAGGTTCTGCTGTTTCTGCTCAAACTCTGCGTGCCGTTTACTGTTGCTGATTGTCTCTGTCTCCCTCCTGCAGTTCTCCCCCAAAACGCCTCCTCACTGGGTGGAGGACCAGAAGTCACTGCTGCAGATGTTATGCCAGCAGGTCGAGGCCTTGAAGGTCAGTCAGACACCAACAGCCTGCAGAAGAATCAATCAGTTTCTTTGCTTTCGCTTTTCCACAGTGTGAATTTACCTTCTGGGCATTATTTTTGTTTTATTTATGATTTTATTATGGAAGCTTATTCTTTTTTTTTTATATATAACTTTTGACATTTTAATTGAGTGAGCACATAGAGACAAACAGTTTGAGCAGAGAATTAGGAGAGTGCTGTAGTCTAGTTCAGAGCCAGACTGAAGGACGTTTGCATGCCACTGGAGAGCATACACTAACACACACGAGGTTCAGCTGAGATTGAGAGTCAACAGAGATATCTGTTTTACTGATCCATTGACACACAAATGAAATGACACGCTTCATTTCAGCGTGCGCGCACTCTTGCCAGAACTCCCATTATTATTGAAGCTAATACTCAGCCTCTTGTTCACCTCATGACTTTGTGCAGAAGCGCACTGAACACTGCTTTGAACGGTTGATGAACTTAAAACGCCTCTGATTGCCTGATGCATTCTTGTGCTCAACAGACATATAATTGGCTACAGCGCTCAATAGGGGCTTTCGCACCGCGTAGTTCTAGGAACTAGCCAGCAGGGTGGTTCCTAGAGAACCAATTTCTCCCTCGGGCCATTTTTGAATTCGCACTGGCAGCAGGAACTCTGAAGCAGCCAACAGCGAAGTCTTTATGCGCGGCATTTACAAACGTCAACAAACGGTGAATGGAGGACGCCATGATCGGAGCTGTTCTTGTTGTGTGTTTTGGGTTTCGTGATAACTGAGATTGAATGTAATGGCGCTTTTCCACTGCATGGTACGGCACGGTACGGTTCGGTACGGTTCACTTTTGGGGGGTTTTCCACTGGGTACAGTACCTGGTACTTTTTTTAGTACCACCTCGGTTGAGGTTCCAAGTGAACCGCACCGTTACCTATGGGGCGACGTGGTATGAGAAAGTTTTTCAGGAGTCGCAGCAATAGAGGCGGCGCAACTATAACGACATGTGAATAATCCCGCCCACTCTAAAGCGGTACTAAACTGCAGTGGAAACGCAAACTGAGCCGAACCGAGCCGTACTGAGCCGTGCCGAGTCGTACCACGCAGTGGAAAAGCGCCAAAAATACACAATTTACGCGACTGAAAGAGCAAAAAGCTGGGCTAACAGGTAAATGCCGTTATCGCTGTTTTCCATGTTCATGGAGTAAGTATTTTTACAAAATGCCGGGTAGCCGGTGTTTCGTATGCGTTTGGCCAATCAGCGTACACTTACATCACTGGTAGTTCCTACAGAACTGTTGTAGACCCTACTCTGAAGTAGGAGCTAATTTAGTTCCTCCAAACGGAGTACCTAGAAACTAAAACCGTTCCTAGTTCCTGCGGTGCGAACACGACAAAAAGCGGGTACTTCCGCCAATAGTTCTAGGAACTATGAAAAAAAATGTGAAAAGCCCCTAATGCTGCAAAAACACATTGTAAATAGAAACCTTTGCACTCATAAATACATGGAGGAGTGTTCAAAAGCAGTCGGCTGTCAGCGGGAGCCAAACTGAGTCTGTATTACCAATGCTACAGAAACTGGTATCAGCACATTTTTGTAATTTCAGAATCACCTTAATGCCGGCTACATTTGACAACTCTAGCTAAAGCTCTAAAAAGCATAGTTACTTTTCTGTCTGTTTTTAATGTCTTCTGTTGAATAATCCATGTTTTTATCACTTTTTAAAGGATTAGTTCACTTCTAGAATAAAAATGTACTGATCAATTTCTCACCTCCATGTCACCACCCATGTTAAAAGCAGTCATTGCAGCATGAAATAATCGGTCATTTTCTAAAAAAAATTAAAAAAATGTATATTCTTTTTAAGCAAAGTAACTGATAAAGCCTGTAAACACACACTGCACGTCACAACAAATTAGTCACACTGAACAAAGGAAAAATAAAACCTTGCTTTGTTTGGTAATCATTTTCACCAAACATTCTCTGTCGGCGTGAAAAGGGTTTTTACTCTTAAAATTAGGTCCAAACCCTGAAACCTGCGTATTACTAGTAGTAGCATGTTGGAGTTTTTCACAGAGAGAATTTAATGTAGTATGATTTAAAGGAACACTCCACTATTTTTGAAAATTGGCTCATTTTCCAACTCCCCTAGAGTTAAACAGTTGAGTTTTACCGTTTTCTAATCCATTCAGCCGATCTCCGGGTCTGGCGGTAGCACTTTTAGCTGTAGCTTAGCATAGATCATTGAATCTGATTAGACCGTTAGCATCTCACTCAAAAATGACAAAAGAGTTTCTATATTTTTCCTATTTAAAACTTGACTCTTCTGTAGTTACATCGTGTACTAACACCGACTGAAAATGAAAAGTTGTGATTTTCTAGGCCGATATGGCTAGGAACTATACTCTCATTCCGGCGTAATAATCAAGGACCTTTGCTGCCGTACCATGGGTGCAGCAGGCGCAATGATATTACGCAGCGCTTGAAAATAGGCTTATTGGAAGTTACCTAGCTGGGGACTATTTTCTAGAAAATCGCAACTTTTCATTTTCCGTCGGTGGAGTTGGAAAGTGAGCCTATTTTCAAAAATACTGGAGTGTTCCTTTAACCAGCTTTCAACTTCAAGCAAAGGGGATCATAAGGGTAAATTCTCATACAGTGAAGCTATATTAGCCTAGTACATTATTGAATATTGAATGAAATGGTCTTGTCTGCAATGCTCTGGCATCTAGCACAGCTTCCAGTCCCAGCTGAAGGTCTTTATCTCTCCTGTGCCCCTCTCGCTCTTGCTCTACTCTCCTAATAAATGCATACAAGGCAAAAATATTACTTAAATAAGCTATAATAAATGCCCTGTAGTACCAGCTGAAAACAAGTGTTTGGAAATTCATTTTTGATATTTTTTAATTTTGTCTCACGCAGAATGAGGTTCATGACCTGCGTCATAACTCTTCAGATGCCGCAGCATCCTCATATAGGATGTATCGAGACAACTATGCTGCAGAAGGACTTCAGGAAACGTTTCCTGCGGCGCAGACATTCCACGGTGTTCCTCTCACTGGTCAGTTCAATGGCTTACCCAAATCAGCAGTCTTTGATTGAAATGTGAAATTGTACGTGTATACTAGTGGTTCTCAAAGTGTGCCAGCCAACCCCCCCCCCAGCGAGTCTTGTTCACTTTCAACATTTGAATATACACACAATCTCTAGGGGTGTCCCCGACTAAGGATTTTCATAGTCGAATCAGAATTTTTGAATCTTGACGATATTCGACTGATAGTCGAATCATATGTTTTGGGGGTGGAGCAAAATACATTACCAAGAGTCAAGTCAGACATTCGACAGTCATAAATACATTAACACATAAGGAAAATGTGTAACGGACGCCTCGCAGATACAAACGGGGTAAATAATGTTTTATGTTTTGATTAAAAGATAGTTAACATTAAATGTCAGCGAAACCCTAAGAATTCACAAAATTTTTTACAATAGTGCTCTCATTATAACGTTATGTATATGACAGTAGTTATTAATGTTCTGCATTTCTGTTTTGAGCTGCGCGCGCTGAAGATGACCAGTAGAATGAAGCATTTAGCAGGTTTTTAATCAATGGGATTTAACTAATCATTTGTCTCATATAGAATACGCTTCGTTATTTATACAACATAAAGTTAATATTATGACTTATAGGCTATCTGCACAAAATGCCCCAAAAGCACGAACGTGTCTGTGCGGCTCTGAATGAACTCCTTTTGTGGACGT